CACATTAGAAGGACAAGGTACCATATCCCAAGTATCATTCTCCAATAAGGCACTTAATTCAGAATCCATAGCTTCCTTCCAGCAAGGAATGCTAATAGCCTCTTGGTAAGAACGAGATATATCAACAAAATCTAATGTTGTCAACAAAGAGACAAAGGTAAAAAGGTTAAGACGATCAGGTGGACGAATAGTATGAGTAGAACGACGTAAAGAAACAATGGAATTAGTAGAGGCATTAGAAGCAAGATTAGAATCACTTACTGATTGAGCATCCACAGGTGTACCATCTTCTAGTTGGTGAAAGGAACAAGTTTGAGGTTGTTCATCTGCAGCATGGAATTGATCAATGGAAACTTGTTCTGTCGGAGCATTATGATCAAGTGAAAAGTCATGCAACACAGAAGGTGAAGAATTATTGGATTTTGCAATTGCATCAAAATAAAATAAATTTTCTAGGAAAACCACATGTCTAGAAATATGAATTCTACCAATTTTTGGATCATAACACAGGAAACCCTTTTGATAAACGCCATATCCAACAAAAACACACATGGTAGCTTGGTTTGATAATTTTTTCCTTTCATGAGGTGGTAAATGAACAAAGCACACACAACCAAAAACATGTAAACGAGAATAATCAGGATGACATTTATGCAAGGAGTAATATGGAGAGGTGTTATGCAATACTTCAGAAGGAATACGATTAATGAGATAAACTATCGTAGAAGCAGCCTCAACCCAAAAATTAGGAGGAGCATGAGAATTAGATAACAAAGTTCTAACTACCTCTAAAATATGACGATTTTTCCTTTTAGCAATACCATTTTGCTATGGGGTAGCAGGACATGACCTCTGAGACTGAATACCCTCAACCTTCAAAAATTCTTAAAATTCTTTTAGTAAATATTCACCCCCAGAATTAGAACGAAGAATTTTTATATTAGTATCAAATTGTGTTCTAATCATGGACAAAAAGGTCTTAAAATGAGAGAACACTTCA